GAGCACCAGTCGGTCTCTCTTCTCCAGAAGCCTCTCCAGCTCAGGCCGCAGGGACCCCTTAGAAGCCACGTCTTCTCCATCAGCTGGATCCCGTGCGAGTCTGACACTCTGAGGACAGTCGCTTTGCCAAGCGCAGGGCTCCCCGTTGCCTCCACCACCAAAGCCTTCCTCCTTCTTTGTTCTTTCTCCGCTCTAAATCTCAGAGATTCTTTTGCTCCATTTCTCTCACAGGAAGGGAAGGCTTAGCATTCACATCTTCTGATAGAGCAAAGACAGGGAAAGGGGAATAAAAACTTCTAGGTGTCTACATTAGGAGAACGTGAACTCCCGTCTCCTACCTCGGCAGGAGAAGACAGTTACTGGGGCCGTTCTCCCAGAGGGTTGTCTTAGAGCAAGTCACAAAGGGCAGAGGGTCTTCTGTCTACTGCAGAGGCCAAGGTTCCTGAGTTCTAGCCGATCACACCATCCACACTTTCCCCGAGGATTTTCGTGTAGAGTTGATGCGCTATTGTCTGTCTGTCTGCACTTCTGTCCATCTGTCAGGAAAGTTAAGAAGCAAAACATTTAGCCAGTTTAAGGAAACAAATCCTCCAAAAAGAGTCTTGCCCATGTTTTGCATGCAAGCACATGGGTTGATTCCAAACATGATAATAAACATTTTGGTCCTAAATTTCCAACTGCCTGGGACCTAACGCAAGCCTCACCTCTAATTACCTTTGTGGAAAATGGCTCAACCTCCGCCAGTCTGTTTTCTCATCCCCAGTTCAGGTCACAGAAGGCTTGCCCTCGTCGAGCGGCTGTTTCTGTGAAATGAGAGGCCTTGTCAAGGGCTTAGCAAACAGGAAGGACCTGGCAGGGTGTTGCTGTCCTGTCACCAAGTCGTGTCCAACTCCTCGTGACCCCACGGGCTGCAGCATGCCAGGCTTCTCTGTCCGTCACCAACTCCCGGAGCGTGCTCAAATTCATGTCCTTTAAGTCGGTGATGCCATCCAACCATCACATCCTCTGTCGTCCCCTTCTCCTCTTGCCCTCCGTCTTTCCCAGAGTCGGGGTCTTTCCCAGCGAGTCAGCTCTCCGAATCAGGCGTAGCTGCTGTCGTTATGAAGATGAAGCAGGCAGCCCGGACTCTGCTCTGCTCGGTCCCCCCTTTGTCAGCAGCTTATGTTATTGCACGTTGTTTTTTTTTAACTTTGACACTACTATTTTCATTCTAAACTTTTCCTCTCTCTTTAAAAAATTTATTTATTTTCACTGGAGAATAATTACAGTATTGTGATGGTTTCTGCCATCCATCAGTGTGAATCCGTCACAGGCATACCTGTGTCCCCTCCGTCCGGAACCTCCCTCCCACCTCCCTTCCCCCCATCCCGTCGCGTGGTCACAGGGCACCCAAAGCTGATGCTCAGTGACAACTTTTTATTTTATACTAAAGTATGGCCAATTAACAACATCGTGATAGTTTCAGGTAGACGGCAGAGGGACTCAGCCATGCATATACAGGTATCCATTCTCTCCCAAACTCCCTTCCCTTCCAGAATGGCACATCCTTGAAAGTAATAGAACCACATGTCTTTTCAAACAATAATAACCTTGCTGTTGCTGTTGTTTGGTCGCTAAGTCGTATCCTACTCTTTGTGACCCCATGGATTGTAGCCCGCCAGGCTCCTCTGTCCATGGGATTTCCCAGGCAAGGATACAGGGGTTGGTTGCCATTTCCTCCTCCAGGGGATCTTCCCAACCCAGGGGATGAACCCGCATCTCTTGCATTGGCAGGCAGATTCTATACCGCTGAGCCATCAAGAATAACCTTAGGCATCAGTATTCAATTCTAATTCTCAGTCAGGCAATCTGCATGTGTAATTTCACTCAGGCCTGGCAACCTTCCGTGATGTGCCATGAGTGTCATCTCAGCTTTGCAGATGAAGGGCCCCGGCCACAGGGCTGGGTCAGGAACTTACAGCTTTAAGTGTCGACACCAGGATCCAAACTATATCTGATTCCACAGCCCCTACCCTTAACTAGCACTTGAGAGTGCCTTGCTTTTCAAATGCCAACCAGCTCAGAATTGTGCTCATTCTGCAAGTGCTTTCTTCTAACTAATCCAAATTAGACCTCCTTTCGGTACATTTGCTTTATGTGACAATGCTGAGATGGTGAGCACTGCTGAGAAAAAAGTTACAGTTTTCCTTTCTTCTTTTTTCTCTGACAAGCTGATGACTAGAAATGAAAACCAAAGACATATCTATTTATTTTTATAGTTTCATGAACTTCAGATATTAAACAGTGATGAACACAGATGCAGTGTAAGTTTTGCGCACTTTCTACGTGATGTATGTGTTTGGACTCATGCATTATTTCCCACCTGCCCCGGGACAGAAGGTCATTACAGAAGCTTGTAGAAGCCCCCCCGGGACAGAAGGTCATCAGAGAAGCTTGTAGAAGCCCCCTTAAAGGATTACTGTCTGGTGGGTTTTTTGGTGGGAGTTTTTCCACTCACATAGCTTTTGATTGGATGTAGGGTTCTTTGGGGCTTCGCAGGTTGTGCAGTGGTAAAGATCCGCCTGCCAGTGCAGAAGATGCCAGAGATGGGGGCTCAATCCTTGGATGGGGAAGATCCCCCGGAGGAGGAAATGGCAACCCGCTCCAGTGTTCCTGCCTGGAGGATCCCATGGACAGAGAGCCTGGGGGGCTACAGTCCAGGGGGTCACAGAGAGTCGGACACGACTGAGCGACTGAGTCCACACACACAGGGTTCTTTTAGGGGAGGGTGAGCAGTCGAAAGGTACCGGATCTTTACACAAAATGACTGCTGCTATCCCAAACCGAAATCCCAGCAGGGGTTCAAATCCCAGGGGAACCCTACCCCCACAGTGTGGTTCAAGAGTCAAACCACAAACAGTGTCCACAAGGCCACAATATAAGATACACATTCTCACCTGTCCCGAGCAACAGGAGCAGAAATAAAGGTGATGTTGGAGGCTTTACAGTAAGTGAAATTTAGTCAGTATAGTGTAGTATAATTTATTTGATCCAGTTCAATACAATTTATTAGGCATCTTCTTGTGGCAGGCACTCTTCTAGGCATTGAAGAAGACAGAATCTTTTTTCCTCTGTACTCCTTATCAGGGTGTGAACAAGCAAACAGTAAATAAATATATGTGGACAACGTGGTAGCAGTAAGAATCCAAAAAAAGCCCAGAGAATCCAAAGGAGCCCAGAGAATGTTGCCAAGTGAGGGTGGACCATAAGGGACGTTCTAGTCGAGACTCACGTGATTTGAGGAAGTGAGTCTTGAAGACCTCGGGGAAAGGTGTGGCAGAGATAAGGAACCGTGGACGTACAGACTCTGAGGCAGCGATGGCCTCGCGCTTTCAGAGAACAGCAAGGAAGCCGGGGTGGGGGGCGGCAGGGGGCGGGAGATGAGGAAGGAAGGAGGCGAGATTTGAGGGACACTCGGGAACGGCGGACATGAGTGAGGTTTCACTCCGAGCTTGTGTGTTTCCTGCTTTGTTGGTGATAAAATCACCTTTTTTAAAAGGAAAAGATGGTATGGCAGTGTTCTTTTTTTCTTTAAACATTCTTGGCAAAATAAAATGTGGGAAACTCTTTGTCGATTCCTTGAAATTTTTGGAAGCTGGTCTGTGAAATCTAGAAGTCTGTGCCGCCTGCTCCGGGAACATCTTGTGGCATTCTGTAGGTGGGAGCGGCCCGAGCGGGTGCCTGGACCCGGAGCCCGCCGTCTCAGACACTCGGGTGGGCACGCGGCGGGGGTGCTATTTCTGGGCTTCACTTTTCTACTCTCTAAAACGAGGAGTGTTTAGAAGAATCCTGAGTCAATGAAGACACAAAGGACAGAGAAAGCGTGCAGGTGGATAAACCAGCCGAATGGACCCGGCCCCGGGGATTAACGGGACCTCCGCGCTGGACCACACGGGTGTTTACAAAGGGCCAGCTATGCTGAGCCCCGAGGTCACCACGTAGGGGGAAATCCCGGGGTTACTCTCACCTCCCTGGATGTTTCAAGACAACACAGAAATCAGGGTTTTATGTGAAATCTCCCTGTTTGTAAATATTAGCAACTATTTCAATTGAAAATAAAACCAAGGCACTTCCCTGGCAGTCCAGTAGTTAAGAGTCTGCCTTGCGATGCAGGGAACATGGGCTCGATTCCTGGTCAGGGAACGAAGATCCCACGTGTGGAGAAGCAGCTCAGCCCATGCGCTGCAACTTCTGAGCAAACGTGCTGCAGCTGAGACCCACACAATAAACATTTAAAAATGCACACACACACACACTCACACACACACATTATGCACGTCCACAAAACGCCCATGAGAGACGGGTTGGCTGTTGCGTGGCCTCTCGGGGCCCTAGGGCCCTGTGATAAATTACCGCCCACCGGGTGGCTTGAAGCGCAGAACGCACCCTCTCAGGTCTTGGAGGCCCAGAGGTGCAGGCTCACAGTGCGCACAGGACCGCGCTCCTCCGGGGGCTCCCGGGCAGGGCGGCCCGGCCTCCTCCAGCTCCCGGCTCTGGGGGGACTGTCCAGCTGCAGCACGCCAACCTCGGCCTGCTCCCTGACGCGGCCTTCTCCTCTGTGTCTCGGGGTCTCCTCATCAAGGCCGCCAGGCATGAGTGTCGCCCACCCTGACCCAGGAGGACCTCTTGGGAACCTGATGACAGCTGACTGCACGGGCCCCACTTGCAAGCAAGGGCACAGTCCCAGGTCCCGCCCGTCAGGGCTCGAACGCGACCTCAGGGGGGACGCAATCAAACAGATGAATATCGCTCTATTATGAATTCTTTAAAATGGAGATTCCGGCCTAGAAATCTGAGAACTGTAATAGGATTAAAACCTGCTTCTGTATGTATATATGCAAGCTAGACAAACAGTACTGATGGACCTATGTGCAAGGCGGCAATAGACTCAGACACAGAGAACAGACCTGGGGGCACAGCACGGAAGGCAGGGGTGGGGCGGGCCGAGAGAGAAGCGCGACATGCGTACACCCCGTGTGCGCGGCGGCGGCGAGTGGGGCGCTCCGCTCGGCGCCGTGATGACCCGGAGGCGGGATCGCGGGCGCGTGGGAGGCCCCAGAGGGAGGGGCCATGTGGATATGTGTGCATATGGTATACACGGGCATGTGTATATGTATGCATATGGTATACACGGCTATATGTATACATATGGTATACACAGTTATGTGTATGTCTATACATATGGTATACACGGGTATATGTATATGTATACATATAACTGGTTCACATTGTTTTGCAGCAGAAACCAATACATCGTTGTAAGGCAATTATCCTCCAATCAAAAAAAAAAAAATCAGCTCTGTCAAGTTGAGGGTGTCTGTCTCTCCAGGAAGTGAACATAAGTTGAAGAGACTTGTAGATTTTTAAAGTGTCTTCTCCTGGCCCTGAGACCCAGGTCAAGCCAGGCACACTCAGTTCTCTGAACTGTGTTGCGTGATTTTTCAGATTTCAGAGCTGCTGTACAAAGTATCACATGCTGGGTGGCAGAAACCACAGAAATGTATTCTTTCACAGTTCTGGAAGCTAAAAGTCGGAAGTCGAGGTGTCAGCAGGGCACGCTCCCCCGGCAAGTCCTAGAGGAGGATGCTTCCTTGCCTCTTCCTCGCTTTCTGGGGGTCCCCATCTATCTCGGGGGTCCCTTGGCTTGTAACTGCGTCCCTCAGCATCTCCTCCTTCTACTGGGTGGGTGCCTATGTTTTCTCCTCTTCTCTTAGGGACACAAGTCAGTGGAGTGATCAACTCTCATCCAATCGTCTTGAATTTGAGAGCAACTCTATTCAGCCTGATACAGATTCTATCACCAATTTCTATCCAACTGCCTGACTCTGTGAATAAAACTTTTCTGGCTTTTTTTGAGAATCATTGTTAAAATTTCTACCCAGGTACTTCCTCAAGACGCTTGTATCAACTTCCAAACATCTACACCAATTTAAAATCCAGTGTCAACTTGAAAATGCCATTAGTGGTAAAATATTTCAAGAGAAAAAAGGGCTTTATTTCCTCTGCCATTTTTAAACTTGATAGCTCCTGACTTGTAGACTTCAAGCTCCAGTAGACCCTTCTGAAAAACTACCTATAGAAATCCTGAAATAGAGCGCTCAGAGGAAGAAAACCAAGCCACTTTTTCACTTTCTTTGTCCCAGTGAATAAAGAACCTGGAAGAAAAGTGTTCCAGGCCTTTCCCAATCATATTCCTTTATGGCCTTTTCTAACTCCAGATCTTTGTGAGTTTCCTTTCCATCGTGTTTCTGATGAGTCCTTTTACTGTTTTGCACGACAAAACACAGCAAGCCCTAAAATATGGATGTCTTGTTCTTGGGGGAAAATGGAAAAGTTCTCAAGAAAAGAAAATGACATAAGATGAGTGAGTCCATTCTTAGCAATGGTAGTCAAAAGTACCGAGATTAGATAATGATGCAATTAGAGCCCATTTCTTTGGTTTTCTATAATTCCGAACATTTGCTGACTTCTTTGACTGCTTTGGTATTTATTCTTATATCATATCAATTTAAAATCACCCTGTATGCTATGTCCAAGAGGAATGACAAATTATGAAGAAAATATGTTCAGTGAAATTTTAAAAAGGACTCTCTGATTTTGACCTGAGATGTTATTATGAGGCCACACAATAATTCCGGTCTTTTTTCTTCCATCATTTGTGTTCCAAGTGTTTTAGATATTCAAATTGTCTTTCTTCTTATTTCCCTAATGAGGGTTTATCTGCATCCAGTACATAACAGCCTAGAAATGGCTTTCTTCTTGTGCTTTCAGAGGAGAGGGAATGAGCCCAGTTAGGAGGGTGATGCCGTCAACTCCAGGAGAGACAATGAGGACTTAGAGCTGGGTGGAGGTCATGAGAGATAGTGGGAAATTCAGGACACATTTTCAGTTGAATCCACAGGCTTCACTAATGGTTCCACTGATAGTGGAATCCTAAAGAAAGCAAGGACTTGAGGATGTCTTTAAGATTCTGTGAGTGAGGTTTTCATAAAGTCAGAGCCACAGATCAGCAGCATCAGGCTCCTGGAACCAGGATCTGGATGGGGTTCAGGTGAAATGTAAGTTAGCAGTCTTCCTGGGCCAGCAGTTACCTTCACAGCAGCAATTTCAAACTGGTTTCCTATTAAAAGGAATAGATCACCTTGGATTTTATAACTGTTTTCCAAACTGCGTATATACCACATAAACTAGTTGCTGTTGCTGTTTGTTAAGTTGTGTCTCTGCAACCCAATGGACTGCAGCACACCAGAGTCCCCTGTCCTTCACGCTCTCCTGAAGTTTGCTCAGAGTCACATCCATTGAGTCGGTGATGCTGTCTAACCATCTTATCCTCTGCCCCCCTCTTCTTTTGCCTTCAGTCTTCCCCAGCATCAGGGTCTTTTCCATTGAGTCGGCTCATTGAATCAGGCGGCCAAAGTAATGGACTTTCAGTTTCAGCATCAGTCCTTCCAATGAATATTCAGGGTTGATTGCCTTTAGGAGTGACTGGTTTGATCGCCTTGCTGTCCAAAGGATTCTCAAGAGTCTTCTCCAGCACCACAATTTGGAAGCATCATTTCTTCAGTGCTCACCCTTCTTTACTGTCCAACTCTTAGATCCGTACATGACTACTGGAAAAACCGTAGCTTTGACTATATAGACTTTTGTTGGCAAAGTGATGGATGTCTCTGATGCTATCTAGGTTTGTCATAGTTTTCCTTCCAAGGAGCAAGTGTTTTTTAATTTCATGGATTATTTTAAGTTGAAATAGAACTCCTACTTTTTAACATAGCTTTAGCCCAAGTCATAATTCATGAAAATATTGCTTTAATGGGCATGTTTTTAACTATAATTTAGGGGCATTTATTTCACTGACAGTTGTATAGCTACACGCACACATGTGCATGCATGCACATACACACACATACATACACGAACCAATAAAACCCATGATTGCAAGAATTACGACATAAGGTTGATACCAACTTTTAAAAAACTGGTCAATTTTTTAAGTGTTAAGAGAATAATAATAAAATGAGTTCTGGAATACAGCAAAAATACTATGAAGGTGGCCCACAAATGATCACAGTTTGAAAAGCAGAGAATCATTTCAAACCTTACCTTCATGCATAAGAAAATGACAGGAGAATAAAACTCAAATTCAGTTAGTGAGAAATTGTTCCGATCCACAGTCTACCTACGTCTACAAATCAAGGCGACAAACTAGCGTAAAGCTCAGAGATGGAATGACAGAATCCGAGGGGTGGTATGAGCGGTACTTATTCCCCAAATGAAATAATGACTTACTAAAGGAGAGCTGAGTGAGGAAAAACATTGATAATTGTCCAATAAATCTTTCTATAACCTCCCATTAGTCATTGTAGCATTTCTGTCTCTTTTGAACCTGCTAAGGAAGAGAAGTAAGACGCAGTGCACAGGAAAGCTGTTTCTGGAAACTTGCAAGGGAGCCACAGAACTGCCTTTTCCACCTCTCCATCCTCATGCACCAAGACCTTGAGATAAGATATTAGCCAACTGTCGACTGTCCTCTGTCCCCATGATGACAGTTGTGAAAGACTCTCTTTCACTGAAATCATGTTTTCTGCCCTGGCCGCAGGACCTGTGTCAATGCAAGCCATCTCCTAATTACTAAAGGATCTGAGAAGTTCTGAATCTTTCCACCTTTTCCCTCCATCTAAGACATAAACTGTGATACCGAGTATAAACCAATGTTGCCCCTCTGCCTTCATTTGTTCATTTATTCTTTCATTTTTCGAGCGCCTCTTATGCCAAATACTGACATGACAACGCAGCAAAAACAGAACCCTCACAGGCTTGGGTCTCACCATCCGGCAAGTGAGAAGGTGTTCATCAGTTAAATGCATGAAGAGCTGGCAGCCGAGTTTGGTGTTATTCAGAAAGCACAAAGTGTTGTAAGAGTCTTTACTCCCTAGTCTTGGGAGTCAGAGAAGACTCTCCTGGAAAAGGCAGTAGGGAGGGGAGAAGTCAGCCCAGTGGGGAAGGGAGTCAGTATGAATGAGATTCCGGGCATGAAGCACGGATATGTTTAAAGATTGGAAATAGGGACCTCCCTGGCAGTCCAGTGGTTAGGACACTGCACTTCCTCTGCCAGGGCGTAAGTTCCATCCCTGGTGAGGGAACCAAGATCCCTGAAGCTGCACAGTATGGCCAAAAGAAAAAAAATAAAGATGAGAAAGAAAGCCGCTATGGCTAATGGGTGCTCAGGGGGACCAACTGTCCTGGGATGGTTGGCCCAACCGGGAGCTAGCTAGGTCTCAGTCCCTCCCTTTCTCTCTCCCTCCCTCCCCAGCCGCCCCACATGGCTGCTTTAGCTTCCTCACACCGTGGACATGTATCAGGCTTCTTACATGATACTGACTTTCCATGAGACCCGCAGAAGTTGCAAAGCTTTTTATGACCTAGCTTGGAAGTCACTTCTGTTGCCTTCTGTGGGTCAAAGTGAGTCACAGGCCTAGGGCAGATTCAAAAACAGTAGAAACAGACTCTTTTTGATGGGACGAATAGCAAAGAAATGTGTGACCATCTTTACTCTTCCAAAGATGCTGCAGGGCAGTTTGCGCCATCCCATCACGGTAGACTTGATTGACAAGAAGATACACCTGGCCCTATGAAAACAGGCAAGGCGTCCTTGCAAGTCTAGTTCACAAGTACATATTTTGACCAAGGCTTGTGGAAGTCAGGGTTTGGTTCTCACAGTACAACAGTTTCTAATCCCTTTCGAGAGCGTTACCTTGCTCTCTTCACCTGAGGTAAACATCTCACGTGACGGTGTAAAGAAGGAACAAACCTGTGAATGAAACCCCAGTTCTAGTTTTTTTTTATTTGATTTATAGATTCACTGCAAGTATAATACAAATATCTAAACAGGAAAAAAAAAAAAAAGATTGTTTTGCCTTGAGTGTCTCCTGCAGTGATTTTGCCCTCTTCTTGCAGAATGTAGCATTTAGGGAAGACTTACATCCTCCCCTAACAGCTCTCATTCTCCTAAAAGTTCCCAGACAAATCAGAGCTCTCTCAGCTCTCCCTTGTAGAGCGGAGGGTACGTAGTAAATATTTTAGGCTTTACAGATCTCACAGCCTCCTTTCCCACTA